GAAAGATAGCTACACAGCATAAATTGGAAAATTATACTAATCTTGCATATTTAGAATATACTTTTTCTGCAAAAACTCATCCCTTTAGATACCAGCACACAGGCAGAGCAGCGAGCTACCCAAGTTTTTAGGGTTGCTAATTCAAAACTGTACTATCAACTCCACTATTTCCAGCTAAGAAAGTAATAGTTCTGCTTAAGTCACAGAAGATACAAAGCAGTCAGCTGATACACAGTTAGAGATTTCGTTGTTTAATTCTACTACTTTTTTTTTTTTTTTTGGGCCCAATGTTAAAAGATGACCCAAAGAAACAGGAAAGTCTCTAGAAGAGACTTAAACAATACAAAGGAAGAAAAACGTTTACGATTTTGGCATTTAAAGAACAGAACGTTTAAACTAAGAGCCCACTACAGATGTTAAACGAACTCCTAGGTTACACACAACATTTGTCATAAAAGAAGGCAACGTCTCATTATTTCAGCGTTTTGTTTAGCAATACTGTACACCCACTGAATTAATTTTTCATTCTTCTCCAGATATCTAGGGTAGGGGAATATTCAGCTTAAAAAACACTCCTATAAATCAAAAATAAGGCAGATGTTCTTCAGCACAAGACAGCCAGACACAGACAAGAGAAAAGCGAGGGTGTGAGTTTGGGTTAAGAGCACATTCCCTGCGTGGCGCCCCCCCTCTTACACCTAGAGCTGGAGAAGTTCCCAGAGACTACAATATTTCAAAAGTTTTCTTCATAAAGCTGGGACCGGATTCTAAATTTTGAGAGCATCCTAGCCAATCTGGCACGTCTGGTCATGACCTCCTCTTACGAATCTAATTAAAGCAATAATGGATTATATTAAAATATTTAACTTCTCCCTGAAACAGACTATCAGGGCCCACAGAGTCATGTTCCATGTCTCTTTTACGGGAGGTAGTTTCCAAATGATGGGCAGCAATTAATAATGAGGGCAGTAACTTCAGACTCCATTCCCGTTAGCTCCCCAAGTGCACATCTGCTCTCTTCGCAGAGAACTTAATTAGACAACTACTTCAGGTCAGTTTCAACACATACAGTGGGATTTGCCTTCTAGAAATTTCAATCTCTACAAAGATCAGCTATTAAACAACATAGTGTGGACTATCAAGAATTTATCTAAAACCAGTTAACTATTTGAACAGGCAGAATCTGAATTTTCATAACATCTCACAGGTGAAACATACTGATGCTGAGGAAGGGTTCTTTGCAATTGCACTAACTTAAATATTTGCATTTTACCTTAAAGCATGATGCTCTATACAGTAGCTGCACAACATGACCAATGCTTGTTTTGGAGGCCTGAGGAAATCTTGGTTCTAGCCTTTGCACAACAAAAAGTACCAGAACTTTTCTCGAGAGTGCAGAGCCATCTTCCAGTGCCAGTAACACAAGTTTTAGTGCCTCCTCTTGCATAGCTTTAACACACAAAAACATAAGGTAGGCATAAAAATATATTACCAGGAAACAGCAAGGCTATCATATATTAGCCCCGTAAGTCGGAACATCTGAATTTTCTTGAACACAATTCCTTGCTACTTTTTACTTTACTAATCATAAGAAAAAATAAACAGTGAAAATATAGCATTAAGGAATATGCTAATTTAGAAACAAGGGAGTATTTAAAAGCACTTAAAGCACAGCAAAATTAAGGTTGAAGATTGATTTTAAGTAATACACTCTTCAGTAATGCAGTTTTTATACTTTTCTGCCCTGTGCGGTCTTGCAGCCGTTATAATTTTGGACATCTCATCAATGCTATACCATGATGCTGTGTAAAATAAATATGGGAGCAGTATAGTAATGCTACCATCAGCCATGGGATCAGGAGTGGACTATTTACAATTTAAACAGAATTTGCTGGTGATTTCTGTGCTTAGTCGAACAGCATTCTTAACTAGGAGCGTATTACTTTCAAAAACGTAACAGATGATCCTTGTAATTTTAGCTGCAGCATACTTTAAAGTTTAGGCTGACCGTATCTACAATGAAAGTATTAACAAAAGAGAACATTTACACTTTCCTATCACTTTCCAACCAGAGACCAGTACCACCAGCCAGCATTAGTTACACTGCATTACAAACAACGCAGAAAGCATGTTTGTTTATTCTTTGCCAGAATGTGGCATTCTTCCTCACAATTTCTAAGAACAGTATCAATAAGGAAAAAACAAACAAACAAACCACAGAAACCTAAGTCAGCAGACTTCACTAACTCTTCAGTTTTTCTTCCGCTTCCTCCCTGCCATAAAGTAATCACATCTTTAACGGCACAGAAGAAATTTCCAAGGAACACTTCTGTATTAAGAAAGAGTAAAGACCCTGCAAATACCTTACCTGGTCCTAGAAACTGGCATCCTCGTGCCCTGACAGCAGCCCAAAGATTGGCAGAAAGCTGCTGAGGATTTTGGTGCTGTAAAATCAGTTCTGTAACAGTTCTTTCTCCCAGGGACCGAGCTGCCCTCATGGCTCTAACCCGACCCTCTTCCTCCACCAGCTGACAATTCACCAGTGTCACAAGCTTCCTTTGCATTGGACGGCTCAGTGCACTCTGATTCAAGCTAGCAACACCTTTAAAGAAAGGGACAAATGATAAACTGTTAATTCATCTATGACCAATTTACCTGCATAAGTTAAGGTAAACAAAAAACGTTTGATTGTATATGTATATAGTCCTCTAGGACTTAGATACTTATCACAAACATCTTTCTTTATGTTAGGGAATTTGCATTCTGCAACACATAAGAAGTCTTCCTCCTTGGTCAGGCATCTTTTAGGTGTTGTACTAAGAGAGTTCCTGGCTTACTATAATCGGTAATGAACGCGGATGTTTTCAAGTAGCGTGTTCATCACTTCTACCCTCAAAGACAAGTTTAAGGCTACTAAGGATTCCTGTCTTTCCTTCCAGAGCGCATAAGCCTTCTGAAAGTTCCTAGTAATGAACAGAGAACTGCCCACAATTACTTGCAGATCTGCAAATATATCCATGTAGTTCTTTATCAGAAATAATTTTGAAGTCTTAAATTGATGTCAAACCTATCCTTTATGGAAAGTTCAACTTTAGTACAGTGCTGGCCCAAAGAAATATTACTAAATTAAAAAAAATGAGTCGTTTATAACGTTAAAATCAAAGATGGAACTGTCACAGGCACGAATGAACTTCAAAGACATAAGGGAAATTTTAATCACAAAAGTGAGAGGATTATCCCATTGAGGCCTAAAGATCAGTCAACGCGGAAAACAAACGCTGTTAAAATTTAACCAATCCGCTACATCAAAATTCCTCCGTTCAGTAAAGACTCACCCTTTCCTCCACTTAGTGGCTTTAAGTAGAGTGCCAAATCCTCAACACACTTCTTTGCTACTTCGTAATGTTTGTTCTCTCCTACATTACTCAACTTTACTGTCTGATGATCAGGTACCTAAGAAAACGCAAGGGGGGTGGGGAAGAGAGACGAATTATATATACCTGGCTGACCTACCTGATACGCCTATGATGGTACGAACATCACTACTATTAATTATATAACGCTGCAGACGTATACCGCTTTTTAGAGAAGTGAAAGACAGGATCCACCCGAGGTGTGTGGAACGTAGTAAGATGCAATGCAAAGGACTAAAGATGAGGATCACAGTGATGAAAGACTGTTTTTATCGGTACTCAACACATTAAGAGCAAAGCAGGATAAAAGAAACAATAACCAAGGTCTAACCAACAGCTGAGTGAAGAACACAAGAACTGAGAGGATGATCAGTGTACCAGATCAGCATGATTTAGCACAGAGAGACAAAGGAAGTCACAAGACAATTAACTGGTAAGAGCATTATATGAAAAACCCCCAATCAGAAATCAAAAAAATAGTTTAGGCATGCAAACAGCTCCAAAGTCTTCAAAGAGAAGAATGACAAACTTAACTTGGTGAAAAAGCCAGCAGACTAACAGGCCAGACTATGCAAATAAAAAGGGTATTAGTCACAATATATTAAATTGTTTAAGAGATATTGCAGGAAGTGAGGAGATCGGGAAAATAACAGTTGTAAGGGTAAGGCAGTGATTATGACAAGTTTAGAAATAAAGAATGAAGGAACAGGTGAACTTGCGAAACAAAAACACCTTGAAATATACAGTAAGTGTAAGGAGAACAGACTTATTTAGTCTCCAGGAAGTGAAATACTGATTATACAATCACTGTTTTGCCACTGTTACGAGACGACACAGGGAACGTTCCCGGCTGGATGAGCCAGTGTCTGAAAGCGCAATCGAAAAGCGATCATCATGCATAAAAAAACCCCCCCTATCTTAACCTTGGTTAAACAGCTTGCTACTTTTGGACACATGACATGTATAAATGTGATTCCCCATGACAGTACAATGAATGAGCCATGATCTGCAGATTTGCTTTTTCTAATGACAACTGTGACACACAATTGTCTCGTTCCTAATTGGTATTTTTCGCCAGTCGCAGCGCTATCCATCTCACCATGATGGAAGCCTCTCCCAAAAGCACACGTTAGGCACTCATTGTGCGAAAACTCTAGATAGCAAGAGCCTTCTTAAACCAGAATTCGGTTTACACACAAAGCTAGAAGATCTTTTCATTTTATGAGAAGGGGACAGTCCTGAAAATGGTGTGATTTCTTTTATGACATATATGGATTTCAAAATACTACAAAGAGAAAGTCTTATAATTTTTAAGACTAAAACGAGGGCAAAATATTAATGCATGCACTGCAGCCGGAACATAAACGGTAATAACTTGAAGTGGCAAAACAAAGACCTCCTTAAATCATACCTGGGCTCCAACTAACTGGAGGAGTGCAAAGTTTACAGGAAGCACATCGATGTCTGTATTGATGGCAGTCTGGTCGAAAGGACATGCCTTGCGATGGAGCTTGTTCAGGCAGGTCTTACAGACAGTGTGAGAGCAACCTAAGCTGATGGGTTTATGCACATTCTCATCAAACTCGTTGTAGCAGATTGGGCAGGACAGAAATTCTGTCCACTGAGCTGCCTGCACAGGCATTGTGGAAGCTGGACACTTGTTTAGCAGGCTAGCAGACCATTATTTCACTGTATTATGTTTTGGCAGCTGTAAGTGAATAACAGAGTATTTAAAACATGCTTTCTAGCCTTTAAGAATTATTTTTAATTTTAAAACCCCACCAATTCAATATTTTACAGAATAAAACCACAACCACAGGCTGAAGCGCTCAAAAACACAAACCCAGCTTTGTGTTAGTTTAATAATAGTACCCAGAAAGGCTCATAAACTGAATTAATGTAGACTACTGTAAAAAAATGTCGCACTTATTTACAAAAAATATTATTAAAATTCTTCTCACAGGATTAAATACACCTTCGTCACGAAAAAGTAGAGGAAGTCACTTGTTGGCACAGAAAACTATGACATGAATCATACTAATCGTATCTCGCACAACCTCATCTAAATTCAAAATTTTAAACCCCCATGCTTCTCTATTTCACACAACAATGCAATCTACTTCAAAAAACTCAGAGCAAGAAAATTCTCGACGCTCTGGAAATGCAGGTATTTAAGACAAAACTTGTTGAAGATAAAGCAAGCAATAGCTTCAGTTGATTTGTTATTAACAGTCTGCTTTCGCTTGAAACATCTCACTCTGTACAGAAGTGCCATACAAATCATTTTACCCCCCCCAGAACATACAAGAGAAAAGAATTTCTAGAAACTGTTCTGAAAAACATCCCATCTTACATAACTAAGTTCTAGAAAAAAAGATAACAGGCCTATGAAGTTCAGCTAAAACATTTACATTCAAACTTTCCTCATCCACAGTTTCATCTAATGGCTAATCAGCCCCACCCTTTGCTGTAACACGCAACAATATTGACTTTCTATGCAACCTAGAGACCAGTTAGTTTACTTCAAAGCTATGGACAAGCCTATCCTAGCAGCTTGTTAGAAGTGCAAATACAAGCATTTTAATTCCTTTTAATATTGTAATTTTTTCCAGTGATGGAAAAAGGTAATTGTTTTGAGGGAGTCAGGCTCTGCCTCTGAATTCAGAAACTCTTTGCTGCGATTCCATTGTTGGCTAATCTACAACTTCATTAATGCTAAAGTATTGGACCATTGAAATAATTACTGGAACACCAAATAGACTCGATGCGTAGATATATTTTATTTTAATTATGACCATCTGTTTAGAAATTCTATTTAGCACTATGAACATTCATTGCCCTTTAAGTAACAGGATACTTGTACAAGATGTCCTCATCTCAGGGAACTTTTCAATGTTATTCAGAGATTTTTCTCCCCCC